GGAACATATCCACAAGCTGAAGGCAGACAAGGATCGCAAGAAGCCTCTGGCAGAACAGGCTTGAGGCCTGCAGGTCTAAGACCAAGGAAGCCGGCAAGCGCCGTGGAGTGGCTTCAGGCCAAGGAGGAAATTATTAAGACTCTGTCCCAGGAGGAAGAGACCAAGAAATAAATTTCCCTGCCTCTTCTCTGTACATAGTGGCTTTGCAATTGCATAGATCATTCATTCAATAAAAAACAAGCCTACCTCTCTGCTTCCAAAGTCTCTGGCTGCCTGGTGGGTCCTTCACTGTGTACTGGACCAGAACTGAGGACTGGGATACAGGCCCTTCTCTGGGTTCCTGCTTTGTTGCTTCCTTGGCTCTTAGCCTCTGGTCAGGCTCATGCCCCCGCCATCCATGGAGTGCGGGGCCTACTTTGAAGGGAGGAAAGGAATGACTTCTATCCAACTTTCAGATACTGTGCTTCAAAACTACCCTTTACAGCAGAGTATGAGTGGCATCTCAGACACGGTCTCAGATGTTGGTTGTTATTCAGTTGGGAATTGTCACATTATTTAAAAACAACAGAAAATGGTATGCTTGCACTCCTCAATTGCTCTGAGGTTCAAGGTTGCAGTCTGTTGCCTTAGAACTCCAGGACAGTGGGGACTGAACCATCACCAGTCCAGAAGGTATGATTGACCTGAACTGCTGACTGCTGCTGGAGCTGTCTTTAGACAGCCTTACTGAGATAGAACTGAAGCCATCATTTTGAGTATCCCTATTTTTATTTTTAAACTTATTTTTCTTTCCTGTCCTTATCAGTACTGTTTCCTGTTTTGTTTTTCGGTTTATAACCATCAAAAATGTCCAAAGGAAAAAAAGCTTTCTTGGCAAGAGTTGGAATAAAGGCACATAACATACACACTTGTCACAGCCATTTTGAGTTGACTTTATACTCTTTTGCAAATGAGAAGTAGGTTTTATCTTGCCTCTTATCTGGTAGTAATAACCAATAAATTTTTCAATAAAGTATCTGTTCTATGAGCCAAGTTAAAAAAAAAAAACCCAAACATTACCACAGGTGCAATAGCTAATCAAATTCACAGGTTCTGGGGATTAGAGTATTTTTGGGGGGTCATTTAAGAAATTCTGCCTGCCATAGCACTTATTCAAAAGATGAAGGGAAATTCTTTTGGGATGCGGGGGAAAAGGAAGTGGGAATAAATTCTAAGTAATATACTGATGAGAGAAGCCAACCATTTGCAATGAGAGTCCTGACCTCATCCATGGTGTCCTGCCCGTTATATCTTCTTCCACCTCTAGAGTGGCTACTTTGGTCACAATGTCCTATCACAGTGGCTTAAGGTAAATGGTCAATAATAGACATTTTAAGGAATGCTTGGGCACTAAAAACTCTTACCAAGCTTCAGTTTTTCCTCATCAAATGGTGTCAACACCAAGCCCTCCAAGAGCTTGTCCTAAGAATACATGTTGGAAGTGCATCTTTTTAGATATGGCTCAACTAAGAGAGAATTTCATTGCTCAAAACTCGGAGGACCAGGATAATACCCCTGTACTCCTCTTACATATTCTACTTCAGGATTCAAGGTAGATACCCATCCCTTCACCTCATTTCTCTTCAATGAAGGTTAAGACACAGAGCAGCCTCTATATTCCTGTGTACCAACTTCGGCTAAACACCAGGGTTGTTCCTGAGTTGCTTTTTCATCCTGGTGACCTAAGAAGATCTCAAGCTAATAAATCCATCCTGGAAGGCAAACTGGAACTATTTAGCATGTAGATGGTTTTCAAAGAACATCATTTTTTTCTAATTAGGATGACACTTGCCTGGTACTGAAGAAACACAACTGATGATTGGGGAAACTGAAATGTAAGAAGAGGGGACCAACTATATGAGAAAAGAATATAAAAAAGAGTGGATATATGTATGTGTATAACTGATTTACTTTACTGTACATCTGCAACTAACACAATATTGTGAATCAACTATACTCCAATAAAAATTTAAAAAAAGAAAAAGAGGGAAACCAAGACTTGCTGCCTTCAGCATCCCTGGGGTTTTTTTCTTCCAGGAGCTTTATAGCCAGACTTGCCAACCACAAGGGGAAGAAACTGTGTAAAATGCCTGTAACAGGCTCTGAGTTTCATGGAGAATGAGAAAGCAAATTATAATCAATATACATTGATCTTTCAAGGCACCATCCTTTCCAAATACCCAAAGTCACCTTTGTGTGCATGCACTTAATTCTTTGGATGAAAATTATCATCCTGATTTAATAGACAGGGAGAAATTGAGGACCTAGAGTTATTTATTAGTGATCTGACCACCATCACAGTGGCCCAGGGCAGAAGAAAGATTACAATAATATCTAATTTCAAGTCATGCAATCTTTTTGAAATTACAAGGACAAATAGAAAGCTTTGATTGTATGTTATCAAAACTGGAAAGATCTTCAGAAAATTTGCTCCTGGACCCTGTCTATACTAAAACAAAGCACTCCTCCACCCCAAATTGTTGGCAACTTAGGTTGCCAATAGATACCTCTTGGGACCTGAAACTGAGAGGATCCTGGTTGCCTCGACTCCTTCTGAAGAAATTTGCTTCCAAGCTTCTTGCAGCACCATCTCATCATTCACCTCAGAGAGAACAAGAACACGTGGGCCACCAGATGTGCTCTCTCCAAACACCTGAGTTGTTAAGGAGTCAGTTTTAATCCCAAAGAAAGGACCAAGGAGAAAAATAAAACACCGATGATTCTGATCTGATTACTAGGTAACAGAACTGGCAAAGAAGCCCTTACCAGAGGTTCAAACTTACGTGAACAAACCAAAGAGAGCACTATTCATCATCCCCAAATATGTACATATCTTGTCCCTTGTACTTAAGGCTGGAGGAGCTATTCTTGTGAGGTCCACCTAGAGCCCCAAAGTGCAGTAGGGTATAGTTTTTTGGAATAGTATAGCAATCTAGAAGCAAATTGATGATAGGATCCCACTCAATCCTTGATGACAATAGCAAAAGGACAGGGTGAATAATTTGAGGTGACCTGCTTCCAAGCATCAGTTTATTGTCAAGTGTCTGCTCTAGGCTTTAATTACTGATTGAACCAAAACAAAAAGTGTTATGATCATCGACATTATCATGAAAGGACTTTTATACCCAACTTCAACCATATGTAAGGTAAGTCTTACTTGAAGTTTTAACTTTTTCTTCAAAAAAGACAAGAAAAAATTCATTTTTAGCTGTGCTGGATCTTCGTTGCTTTGCTTGGGCTTTCTCTAGTTGCGGAGCTCAGGCTTCTCACGGCAATGGCTTCTCTTGTTGAGGAGCACAGGCTCTAGGCGTGTGGGCTCACTAGTTGTGGCATGTGCACTCTATTGATCTGCAACATGTGGAATCTTCCCCAGACCAGGGATGGAACCCATGTTCCCTGCGGTGGCAGGTAAATTCTTATCCACTGTGCCATCAGGGCAGTTCTAAAGTGTAGCCCTTTAAAAATTCTTTTAAATTTTTTATTTATTTTTGGTTACACTGGGTTTTTGTTGTTGCATGTGGGCTTTCTCTGGTTGTGGCCAAGTGGGGGCTTCTAATTGCAGTGGCTTCTCTTGTTGCAGAGCATGGGCTTCAGTAGTTGCAGCTTGTGGGCTCAATAGTTGTGGCACACAGGCTTAGCTGATCCAAGGCATGTCAGATTCCTGGACCAGGGATGGAACCCGTGTCCCCGGTACTGGTAGGTGGATTCTTGACAACTGGACCACCAGGAAAGACCCTGAAATTTAGCCTTGAGAAAATAATAATCCTTTACCTTTATACTAACCCCTGTCCAGAAGTCCCTCTTGAAGCATTTTTAAGGAAAAAGGTTTATCATTGCTTATTCTGCTCTTTTTGGACGAGAAAACAGCAATCACCAGCAACACTGAAAGAGAACTAGACCAACAGTGTGGTAGTCTTACATCCTGGACTACGAGACATGACCCTTGCTCCCACTCAAGCTCTGCCAATAAATATTCCTGGGAGAGTCCTTTGATATCTCTAAGTCTGTTCCGTCACTTGTGAAGTGAGGTGGTTGGTTTAGACAATTAAAAATTGAACTAAGATACTGCCGAGATGTGTCATGCCAAGATACTTCTAAGGATACGAGTATGACAGAGTCTCTGCCTCAAGAAACTAACAATCTAACTTAGAAGGCACACATCTGTGCATACATGTACATAAGCCCACATTTATCACACACAGACAGTAAGCATTATAAAGGATGCAGCATGCTTTATGGTCCTTTATATGGACTAATGCTCGTTTGACTGAAAGTAGAGGGAAACCAGATGAAAGCTTCATGGAAAAAGAGGTAGCATTTAAAGTAAGTCTTTCAGGGTAACAGGGAGAGTTTGAAAAAAAGAGGAAAGTGACTAAAGATTCAGGCAAAGAAAACAGATGGACAAAGTTCAAGGCTTGCAGATACGTAAGGACAGGAAAGCAGGAAAGTGAAAAATGACAAAACAGTCCACTTTGGGTAGAGTGTAATGGGAATAAGACATAAGCTGAGAAAGTTGAATCAGACTATTTTTGAATTGGTCAATGGCAGAACCAGTCCTACATTTACGGATTAACCTGGCAGTGGTGGGTAGAAGTAAATGCCAGAGGGTACAGATGGCAGGCAGAAGGCCAAGTAAGAGGTTATTTCAATAGACCAGTGGGTGGCAATGAGGACATCAGCCAGGATAGTGGCAGTGAAAACAGACAACCACTTTAGTCAAAATTTTAAACCGGCACTGTATGTTGCTTCTGTTCCAATTCTCCATGGTAACAGGCTATCCCAAGTGAAAATTATTAAAAAGGAGCACTAATTTGAATAAAGCTTTCCCAACATAGAGAATGACAAATAAGTGAGCCCAGATCCACATTGGGTTTAAAACCATCACTAACCTCTGGCCTTATACTTTCACCAAGGCATTCAGCCAATTGTGGAAAAGAAATACACACAGGAGACTCAAGAAACATCTTATTAATACAGTATTTATTTGTCTTCCTTCTGTCAAGCCCTGAGCCAACCACTGTCCCCAGGCTGCCTGGGGAGGTACAGGAAAAGAAACATACGGGGCAGACGAGACACGGGAGAAAGAACTGAGAGGTGGAAATGGCTCCTTCACATGGCGAAGAGGATGAGAAAGGCCACCATCAGGCAAAAGAGCCCCATGGCCTCCGAGAGGGCAAAGCCCAGAATGGCGTAGGAGAAGAGCTGCTGCTTCAGAGAAGGGTTCCTGGGAGGGGAAGAGAGAAGACTGAATTTCTAGTCCATATAAAGAAAAGACAAACATTCAAAGGGCTCAGGGAAAATCTATCTCAAGCTAACATTTCAGGTAGCAAGTCTCTCAGGGTGACACCATCATGCCCCATTTCTTGCTCTGACCCATCAAGGTCTCTACAGAGATGAATGGGGGAGGGGACAATCCAAAATTTGTAACACAGCCCAGGTACAGACATTACCTCCTCTACTGTATCACATCTTCCCTGGGACTGGACACTTAACTATCCAGGGCTCAACCAGGATGGAAGACATCTCTGGGAGGCAGGGTCTGTCAGAGCAGCATTTCCAAACTTTAAGCAGTAGAACCCCATAATACAACAGCTAAAGTGTAATGGAGTGGCGGAACTGGAGTCTTGTTTGATTGGTCTCCCCTTCATTCTCTAAGAGTCTCTGGGGTGTACCCTCAGAACCCTAGGGCTTTATGTAACACAATTAGAAAAACACTATTCTAGTGGACAAGGACATCAGAGGGACAAATAACTTCTCTTATTTCAAAATAGTCAAAAGATTTTAGGCTACAAGCCGCCTGGGGGTGGTGGTGGGGGGGCGTCATATTTAGACAATATGAGTCAAAATGGGATAAAGGACTCCTAATTCTGAAAATCAATATATAATTTCTATTTCCCTTACTGTCACCTCTGGAAGACTTGATGGATAAAGTAAAGCAACACTAGCTTTTAACAGAATTGTGGACACAGAAGTTTCTTATTCCATACAAATCCTAAAAAATAAACTTATTTCCCCAAAGACATTGAGAGAACTTGCAGGTCTCTGAAGGATTAATTTAGCTCTAACACTGAGTTGCCCAGAGCTGTTGGGGACCAAACAGTCCCAAGTGTCAGGGAGCACCGGGGCTGGATGCAGAAGCAGTTTTCTCAGGAGTGATGAGGGAATTCCCGGGGACAGGGAAAAACAGCAGCAGAGCCACTATGCTGACTAAGGCTTTAGACTGGGGGGTGGATGTGGCAAACTTTTTCTGTAAAGGGCTAGACAGCAAATATTTTAGGCTCTGCGGGTCACATACAACCTGTTACCTTTTTTATTTTCATGACCCTTTAAAAATGTAAAACCCTTCTTAGTTCAGCTATACAAAACCAGGCAGGCCCAAATACAGACCTCTTGGCTTAGTTTGCTGACTCCTACTCTAAACCAAAGCTGTCCAATAGAACTTTCCAAAATGGTAGCCATGAGACACATATGGCTACTGAGCTACACTGAAAATATAAAAAACTTAAGTCAGTGTATTTTTAGTTAAAACTCACATTTGAATACCATTATGTGGTTAGTGGCTACTGTATAGGATACTGCAGCTCCAGAACCCCAAATATTTCTGCCCAGACTTGTGGAAGCACGGCAGGGAGCCAATGGAGGGCCCATCTTACCTGGCATAACCAATGATGAGACTCCCAAACACAGTCCCAATTCCAGCTCCAGAGCCAGCCACCCCTACTGTGGCAGCCCCAGCTCCAATGAACTTGGCTGCTGTGTCGATGTCCCTTGAAATGGCACTGGTTTGGAAGCTGCGGCCTGGAGTGAGTGAGGTGGTCAGGGGACGGGGGACTACTGCCAAGCTGCTGTGGCTCTGTGAAGAAGCAGCAGATAGAAAGTTTTTAGGAAATCCTTTTTTTGCTTTGGAAAACTTCGGTACCATTTAATCCCTTTCTCCCATCAAATCCCATCATTTCTCCTCCAAACAGAAAATCTTTTAACTCCCCAGAAAACTCTACTGCCAAGCAGAACCTTTAAATGCAAGAGGTGGATGTCAAATATCTTCATGACTCAGGTACAGTCTAGAAATGGAAGACCACAGCCCTAGCCTGTTTCTCATGCCTTGAGATCATCTTCCTGGGCTACATGCTCCCAACTCAAGTCCACACTAGATCAAGTAAAATGGGAGTTACAAGCAGCACACAGGGGCATGTGCTACCAATGGCAAAAGCTGGAACATTAGGGAATATATCACATCGTACATGGTATCATGAGTCCTCAGCACTCCCCCTACTGGTTCTGTCAGGTGACCCTCCCTTCCCCACCCCATCCCCACAGGTCCAGTTCCACTCATAAGGTACCTCATCTGTCAGTGTCTCTGGTCGTCTTACCACCACTGCAGACAGTGATCGGCTCAATACTGTAGAGGTTCTCCTGATCTAGCCGGAATAATACAAGGTCAAGAAGGTCAAGAAAGGCTGTGGAGAGGAGTTTTAGAACTACTGCAAATTATTACTGAGATGCCCCATTTATTCACTAGAACTTATATTGGAATCTCAAAAGAGAATCTGGAATCATCCATTTAAAGCATTTACTTCACTCAATAAGAAATCTACACATATACTGGTAATGGCCAGCTCATTAGAAGGAAGTGAATGACTAGAACATCTTTCCCTGAACACACTGTTCTGGAAAATAGGCACAAAGACCTATGCTGAAAATGTACCCCCTCCTGGATACCTTTTCTAACTCCAAGCCAGCATCTCCAAAATAGACAACACAGTGGTTAACAGCCAAGGCTTTAGTCATATACAACTAGATTCAAATCCTAGCTCTATCTGACTTGCGTGATCTTAGGACAAGTCATGTAAATCTTTTTTTTTTCCTCTTTAGGCTGGTTTTTTTTTATTAGTTGGGGGCTAATTACTTTACAATATTGTAGTGGGTTTTGTCATACATTGACATGAATCAGCCATGGATTTACATGTATTCCCCATCCCGACCCTCCCTCCCAAAAATATGGAACGCTTCACGAATTTGTGTGTCATCCTTACGCAGGGGCCATGCTAATCTTCTCTGTATCGTTCCAATTTTAATATATGTGCTGCCGAAGCGAGCACAAGTCATGTAAATCTTTTTAAGCCTGCTTTCTTATCTATCAAATGGGAATAGCATATCTCAGGGTTGACTGGAGGAGTAAATAAGATTATGTACATAAACTGGTAGACTCAATGCCAGGCACAGCAAGTGCTCAATAAATAATACCAACTAACAGCATCACTCCTTTTCACTTATGAGTGAATGAACTGATTGCCTCCACTATCGAATACTCTTTCATTTCTTCCATCCTGTTGCTTTTGAATCAAATATTTTTCCTATGTGTATTTTAGCTTCCCACCCAAATTTAAGCTTCCAGAGGAACTCCTAGCTATAGCTCTCTGACACTCAGGACAAGATCCTGTACACAGTGCATACTCAGTCGAACTTATTTATTTCATATTTATTTATTTCATATTTCAATTTGATACTTCAATTTATTTCATGTTTACCATTTCTGGTGAGGCTCCAGTTTACAAGGACACAGTGTTTCTGATAGGAATAACCTGATCTTAGCCTAGATGCTCATTTATGCTCTTCTGTTATGACTGCATGAGAAAAATCAATTGGCCTTCATGGGACACAAGGCAAGGAATGCCTAGGAAGCATTCACTGTCTCGTCAGGCTAGCAAGGCAAAGGGCCCAACTGTGAAGCATAAGTTCTGAGAAGGAAAAGACAAAACGCCTCTCCTTAAAAACTTTCTTGGGAAAGGTGGGTACTCACCAAGGAGGGGGTGGAGACGAACTTGGCGCAAGCGTACATTTTCAGGGGATGAAGGGCTGTGGCAGGAAAGCTGCAATTACAGAAGCAGCAGTGTAAATGTTGTTCTTGCTCATCAAAAGACAGCTGTATTAGCAGGTGCTCTGGACTTAAAATGGCCCAGAAAGCAGTAACTGACCTCAGAGATGGAATGAGAACCCTGAAGTCAGGATTTCCTCCACACAATTTCCAATATTTCCTTATAATCAAGTGACTTCTCTTGGTCTGAACAAGAAGTCACTTGGTCCCAGCTTTAAGACATGTTATCCCTTTCCATAGCCTCATGAGTTGGGGTTGTAGATGAATTTTCCCAGCATTTTTTGCCCAAGTTTCCCCTCAGTCTCTTATCCAAAAGGAACTCTTCTCAAGCCTTCACTTCCTGGATCTAAAAATGTTGCCCTTTAAGACTATCAGGGTAATTCCCTAGCAGTCCAGTAGTTAGGACTCTGAGAGTCCACTGTAGGGGGCATGGGTTCCATCCGTGATTGGGGAACTAAGATCCTATAAGCCATATGGCCAAGCCCCCCGCCCCCCCCCTGCCAAAAAAAGAGACTCTTGGAAGATATGTGCATAAGGCCAAGACTCTGAAAGGGTCTCTAGCAATCCTCTTATTGAATTACCAGGAAACGTTTGTCAAAACATGTCAAAAGATTTGTCAAAGATGTTCAAGCTGGATTTAGAAAAGGCAGAGGAACCAAAGATCAAATTGCCAACATCTGCTGGATCATCGAAAAAGTAAGAGAGTTCCAGAAAAACATCTGCTGCTTTACGGACTATGCCAAACCCTTTGACCATGTGGACAACAGACTATGGAAAATTCTTAAAGAAATGGGAATATCAGATCACCTGACCCTCCTCCTGAGAAATCCGTATGCAGGTTAAGCAGCAACAGTTAGAACCAGACATGGAACAGACTGGTTCCAAATCGGGAAAGGAGTACATCAAGGCTGTATATTGTCACTCTGCTTATTTAACTTACATGCAGAGTACATCATGAGAAATGCTGACTGGATGAAGCACAAGCTGGAATCAAGATTGCCNAAGCTCTGAGAACTGGTGATGGACAGGGAAGCCTGGCGTGCTGCAATCCATGGAGTTGCAAAGAGACAGACTAAGCTACTTAACTGACAGACTGAGGAAGCATTTGTCAAAACACTTATCTCCTATGTTAATTAACCAGATAAGGCAGATCAAGGAGGAACTGTCATTACTCTAATTAGCAATGACTGTTAAAAGTATTCATTTCCACCATTATTCTAAGGGGTATTCAATTCTGTATCCTCAAGACCTTAAACAGGGATTTCCCTGCTGATTAAGACTTAGCCTTCCAGGGCAGGGGGTTCAGGCTCAATCCCTGGTTGGGGAGCTAAGATCCCTCATGCTTCAGGGCAAAAAACAAAACAAAACATAAAACAGAAGCAATGTTGTAACAAATTCAATAAAGACTTAAAAAAAAAAAAAAGACCTTAAACAATGCTAACACCCTTGAGTACCTAAGTTGGTAGAACTGAGAGAAGAGTGGGTGAGTTAAAGATCTAAAGGCAGGGTTTTTCCAAGTACATTTGGAGGCCCACCTGAACTAGTTACAGGAGGGTAGGGACTGTGTATGTATTAAAAACGTGGGACTTCTCTCGCAGTCCAGCAGTTAAGAATCTGCACTTCTACTGCAGGGATCCCTGGTCAGGGAACAAAGATCCCTTGACCATGAACTGTGGCCAAAAAAGAAAAAGAAAAAACAAAAAATGCATATTCTTGGGTCTCACCTTAAGACTTTCTGGGTCAAGATCTCTGGCAATAAGGCCCAAGTACTCTATTTTGGGATTCCCTAGTGGCTCAGCAGGAAAACAATCCGCCTGACAGTACAGGACACTCGGGTTCGATTCCTGGGTGGGGAAGATCCCCCGGAGAAGGAAACGGCAACCCACTCCAGTATTCATGCCTGGGAAATCCCATGGACAGAGGAGCCTGGCTGGCTACAGTCCATGGGGTCACAAAAGAGTGGGACATGACTTAGCAACTAAACAATAATAACTGTATTAATAATTTCTGTATTTCAGTGAAGCTTCCCAAATGATTCTTAGGTACTTGGAGAGCGTGGTCTTTAAAAGTTTTAAAACTATGGCAGTGGTAGAATAAGAATTTGAACTCTTCTCACTCTTAACGCTTTCTAATATGCTACAGGTTGAAATACTTAGTGATTACTTAGGCCTGTTAAATGACACTTCCTTGAATGACTAATACTTTACCAAATTAACTTCCAGTTCCAGAATGTTACTTTTACATTAATGGATGTCTTCAACTCTTGTCCTTTCCGGAACTCTGATTTCTGCCCATATGTAAGTCTAACCCAATTTTGCTGCCAGGCTATTCAGGTTTTCTTAGGTCAAAAATTCAAAATTTCTTTTAAGCTTAAAAAGAGGAGAGACTTTTTTCCCCCCAAAGGCAACAAAACCTCAATATCATCATTTTTAAAATACAGCTCTTAGAGGGATTAAATGAAATAACATGGAAAGAGCCTGATGTGGAACTGAAGGAAGTCTGCAGGAAGCGGTGATCCCTCTGCTGGCCACCTAAACTTGGCCAAGTCTGCACTTGTTAACCAATATCACCTTGGGGAACAGCACTACCCAGGTTCATGGGTTTCTTCCTCAGTGGAGGTCAGCCAGGGAGTTACAGGGCTGCTACTTAATCGTTCCCTTTCTTAACCTTTTCCTCTTGAGGGCAGGCTGGGGACTCTCAGTAAACCCCTTGACAGGAAAGCTGGCAAGTGGGTAGCACCCCATGCTGGCCCCTCCGCTTTTTAGGCCTGTTGCCTCTAAAGGAAAACCTCACAAAGCCCACGACTTGTGTTTTTCCCGCTTCACCGCAGTGGAAAGAAGAGAACGTCACTGGGAAACGATACGCGGAACCAAAGAAACCTGCCTCTTTTCTGCTATAGCTCTCTCCCAGTCCACAGCCTGAAGGTAGGGGGTGCTCTGGCTGTGTTGTTCATTTCTACCACTTTTATGGTTTACTTTTTAAATCGAGGGGTGCTGCCTAGAGGGACTGGTGGCTTTAGACGATCCACCAATCTCCACTGCTCGACACTTGAGATCCTGGGGCCAAAAGTCTGGAGGTTTCAGAATAAGGAAAGCACGAGTCAGGATGAGAAGAGAAAGGAGAGATTGGAGGGGAGAGTCTGGGGGTTGGGACAGCTCTGAAATGGCAAAAGGGTAAGAAAAGAGCGTTTGCAAGCGACAGGTAAAATGAGCACTCTGGGATTTGACTTTCGACAACTCCAAGGCGCCCTCCCCCCACCCAAGAGACATCAAAGATGGCGCCAGGCCCATGCGGCTGGAGGTCACCGGCACGCGGAAGGGGCAGCCCTAACGCGCTGGAACGATACGCGGAACCAAAGAAACCTGCCTCTTTTCTGCTATAGCTCTCTCCCAGTCCACAGCCTGAAGGTAGGGGGTGCTCTGGCTGTGTTGTTCATTTCTACCACTTTTATGGTTTACTTTTTAAATCGAGGGGTGCTGCCTAGAGGGACTGGTGGCTTTAGACGATCCACCAATCTCCACTGCTCGACACTTGAGATCCTGGGGCCAAAAGTCTGGAGGTTTCAGAATAAGGAAAGCACGAGTCAGGATGAGAAGAGAAAGGAGAGATTGGAGGGGAGAGTCTGGGGGTTGGGACAGCTCTGAAAGGGCAAAAGGGTGAGAAAAGAGCGTTTGCAAGCGACAGGTAAAATGAGCACTCTGGGATTTGACTTTCGACAACTCCAAGGCGCCCTCCCCCCACCCAAGAGACATCAAAGATGGCGCCAGGCCCATGCGGCTGGAGGTCACCGGCACGCGGAAGGGGCAGCCCTAACGCGCTGGAATACGGGGGCAAAGGAGGGCGTGAGGACCCAGGTGGGAGCACGCAAGGTAAGGGCCTCAGACCATCCACGCGAGGTGGGCGCCCGGCGCGCGTGCGCGGCGCAACACGGGCGCGAGGGCCCAAGGCCTTACCTGCTCCCAGTGCAGAGAAGACAGAGAGGGGCGGGGAGGGGCGGGAATAGGAAAAGGAAGGCTCAGCGCAGGCGCGGCCCGGACCAAAGAGTCGCTCCTCCAAGGATAGAGAGATCGCAAACTTGAGGGTCGGCCCAGGCACCACAGCGCCGCCTGCCAGCTCTGTGGCGGTAGCCAGCCAATCACTCCACCTGGCGTCTGAGAGGAGAAACTGCAGGCCGAGCCTGAGAAATGAGGGCACTCCGCAGTGTAAGCCGATCCGTAACGTGGCCTGCGGTTTGCTCAGCACACCGGCTGGGATCTCGGATTTGCGTCTCTTTTCCAAGCATGCGCGGTCACACTGGGGGGGTGGGAAGAAAACCCAACTGTCCAGAATTTCAGTGTTAAATGGCATACAATCGAGATGGGGTTCAATGTCCAAAATCTAGCAGGAGGAAAATGAGGTCACAGGATTCCCGACGCCTGTTGCCACCGACCCAGGCTTTATGGATTCAATGGGCGGATAGTCAGAAAAATGCCCCAGTTGCCTCTAGTGGCTCGGAGAAGGCAATGGCACCCCACTCCAGTACTCTTGCCTGGAAAATCCCATGGATGGAGGAGCCTGGTAGGCTGCGACCCATGGGGTCGCTAAGAGTCGGACACAACTGAAGTGACTAATAGCAGTAGCAGCCTCTAGTGGCTTCACTTTTATTTCCCTCTTCTTATTCCAGTGATCAACTATGAGAAAATCAGCATCAGGGAATCAGAAGATAGGGGCTAAAGATGATTAGGGCTCGAGAGCCCTGACCCTAAGCATTCTTTCCTGAGGCCTGAGACAGTCAAGGAATACAGGGCAGCAGTGAGGTTGGGAGTTCAAACCAGGCATGCCAGGGCCTCTGCTCAGGCTTCATCTACACGAGTTAAGATAAGCAGTCCCCCACCCCCAGGACGTGCTCTTATGGAAGCCCCTCAGCTTCTTCCCCTTTTGCTCGTCCTTTCCTCATGGGAGAAAGTAGGGGGCCTTCTGGCCCTCACCTCTTCTTCTAGGCTGCTTTATGTCCCAGATAGGTCTGACCTGTTCCTTTGGAGGGAGGTCCACAAGGCCTACCCACTTCCCCTCGCGTCCAAACCTCGGCCGTCCAGGCATCGTCTTGAACGCAGCACAAGAAAGATGGGGAAAGCTCACCAAACCCCCATAAAAAATAAAAAAATAAAAAGAAGGCCGCGGCTGTAAATAAAGCCAAATCCGCCACCCTCTGAGGGGCCGTTTGTCCTCCCCTCCTTGGCCCCGTCCTTCCCGCCGCCCCCTCCCGGCTCCCGGGCCCCGCGGCGCCCCGGCCCCGAGCTCCTCCATTTAATCGGATTTGGGAGAAGGGGAGGATAAATCACGGCAGCAGCTTTACGGTCCCGGAGGAGAGGCGAGCCGCAGCCAGGCACACCCCGGCCGGCGATAAAAACCGCCGCTGAAAGCCCACGGAGCAATTTCCCGGGACCCCGAGCGACGCCATTACAGGAATGTAATTTTGCCCGGATGAGGCCCCGAGTTTAATTATCCTCGCGGAGGAATTTCAATGCGGCCAATCCATCTTGCAGGCGGGCGGCAGAGGGATTTATATGGGCCCGTTATTTCACACCGATCCTCCATCTGCATTTTTATGGCCCTGAGCTTCTGAAAGGGAGGGGAAGGAGTAGGGAGAAATCGGAGAAGCGGGCGAGGAGGAGAAGGGTGGGAGACTTCCCGCCTTTCCTAAATCTAAGATTCCAGCTCGAGAATTTGGAATCTCACTGGTTCCCCTGAAATGCCTAGATCGCTCTCCATTTCCAGTTGTTGACTTGGGGTGAGGTTGCGGGTAGGTGAGAAATGGAACTGGTATCCTTGGGAATCACTCAACAGGTATTTACCAGGTCCCAAGCGGTGCCAGGCACAGGGTGAGATGCTCAGAGGAGAAAGGGAAAATAGGCTACAAGAGTATCTCCTGGAGGGCTTCCCTGGCGGTGCACCGGTTAGGACTCCAAGCTTCCAATGCAGGAGGTGGGGGTTCAATCCTTGGTCTGAGAGCTAAGATACCTCATGCCTGGAAGCAGTTGGCAAAAAAATATATCTCCTGAGGTCCGCAGACACCCCAAGCCCGCCCACACTGAATTCCTTTTAGCCCGCGGCTGGAAATCCTCAGGGCAAAACTTCCACAGCTCGTAGGAGCCGCCACCACTAGCCAGTTGTTGCAGCTGTTTCTTGCGACAATTTAGACCCCTCTCAGATATCTCTAACAATCCAAAGGAGAATTGGAGAAGGAAGCAGTGAGGTTGGGAGTTCAAACCAGGCATGCCAGGGCCTCTGCTCAGGCTTCATCTACACGAGTTAAGATAAGCAGTCCCCCACCCCCAGGACGTGCTCTTATGGAAGCCCCTCAGCTTCTTCCCCTTTTGCTCGTCCTTTCCTCATGGGAGAAAGTAGGGGGCCTTCTGGCCCTCACCTCTTCTTCTAGGCTGCTTTATGTCCCAGATAGGTCTGACCTGTTCCTTTGGAGGGAGGTCCACAAGGCCTACCCACTTCCCCTCGCGTCCAAACCTCGGCCGTCCAGGCATCGTCTTGAACGCAGCACAAGAAAGATGGGGAAAGCTCACCAAACCCCCATAAAAAATAAAAAAATAAAAAGAAGGCCGCGGCTGTAAATAAAGCCAAATCCGCCACCCTCTGAGGGGCCGTTTGTCCTCCCCTCCTTGGCCCCGTCCTTCCCGCCGCCCCCTCCCGGCTCCCGGGCCCCGCGGCGCCCCGGCCCCGAGCTCCTCCATTTAATCGGATTTGGGAGAAGGGGAGGATAAATCACGGCAGCAGCTTTACGGTCCCGGAGGAGAGGCGAGCCGCAGCCAGGCACACCCCGGCCGGCGATAAAAACCGCCGCTGAAAGCCCACGGAGCAATTTCCCGGGACCCCGAGCGACGCCATTACAGGAATGTAATTTTGCCCGGATGAGGCCCCGAGTTTAATTATCCTCGCGGAGGAATTTCAATGCGGCCAATCCATCTTGCAGGCGGGCGGCAGAGGGATTTATATGGGCCCGTTATTTCACACCGATCCTCCATCTGCATTTTTATGGCCCTGAGCTTCTGAAAGGGAGGGGAAGGAGTAGGGAGAAATCGGAGAAGCGGGCGAGGAGGAGAAGGGTGGGAGACTTCCCGCCTTTCCTAAATCTAAGATTCCAGCTCGAGAATTTGGAATCTCACTGGTTCCCCTGAAATGCCTAGATCGCTCTCCATTTCCAGTTGTTGACTTGGGGTGAGGTTGCGGGTAGGTGAGAAATGGAACTGGTATCCTTGGGAATCACTCAACAGGTATTTACCAGGTCCCAAGCGGTGCCAGGCACAGGGTGAGATGCTCAGAGGAGAAAGGGAAAATAGGCTACAAGAGTATCTCCTGGAGGGCTTCCCTGGCGGTGCACCGGTTAGGACTCCAAGCTTCCAATGCAGGAGGTGGGGGTTCAATCCTTGGTCTGAGAGCTAAGATACCTCATGCCTGGAAGCAGTTGGCAAAAAAATATATCTCCTGAGGTCCGCAGACACCCCAAGCCCGCCCACACCGAATTCCTTTTAGCCCGCGGCTGGAAATCCTCAGGGCAAAACTTCCACAGCTCGTAGGAGCCGCCACCACTAGCCAGTTGTTGCAGCTGTTTCTTGCGACAATTTAGACCCCTCTCAGATATCTCTAACAATCCAAAGGAGAATTGGAGAAGGAGCCTGTGTCTGATATGTTTATTTCTCCCTTACCTCCGTTCAGTGGTAGGCTCTGAATTCATACACCTGGCTTCCCAAATTGCTGTGTGACCTTGGACAAGCTGTTTAACCCCTCTATATCGATCTTCTTTTATGTAATTTGGGAATGATAATAATTCTTCATAGTCGTTTAGTCACTAAGTCTCATCTGACCCTTTTGACTGTAGACGGCCAGGTTACTCTGTGGGATATCTCCAGGCAAGAATACTGGAGTGAGTTGCTATTTCCTTCTCCAGGGGTTCTTCCCAACCCAGGAATCGAACCCAAGTCTCCTGCTTGGTAAGTGAGCCACCTGAGAAGCCCGATAATAATGCTTCTCAGCAGCAAATATTGGGATAATATACATGAAGCTTTTGGGCTTCCCAGGTGGTGCAGTGGTAAAGAATCTGCCTGCCAATGCAGGAGACGCGGTTTCCATGCCTGGGTCAGGACATCTGGAGGAGGAAATGGTAACCCCCTCCAGTATTCTTGCTGGGAAAATCCCAGGGACAGAACAACCTGGAGGGCTTCAGTTCATGGGATTGCAAAGAGTTGGACATGACTGTGCAGAGATACCTGAAGCTTTTAGCAAGGAGCTTGGAACTTAGTTCAATAAATGCTAGTAATATAATATGTGTGTGTGTGTGTGTGTGTGTGTGTGTGTGTGTTAGTAGTAGTGTTATAGTTGGGAGCATAGCAGCTCAGTTCTGCTCTAGTTCCTAGAGACTTTATTGCCAGCTTCTTGCAATGATAGCCCCTGAAAGAAACTCAACTATGGCTTACTGAATTTTTTTACCTACATAAATCACACAAAGGAGTTACTTGACAGGTTAGTGGGTGGGGATCTGTGGGGAGGGCTGAGAATTCCCAGGGCTACCATATTTGCAACCAGACATTAAACCTGGAGGCATGAGACTACAAAAAGTGGTTGGAGGTATGTGCAGAGGGGTGAATTTGAAGACAGCAAAATATAAGCCGAGAGAACATTAGCTAAGGGTCTAGGGATTTTCTTAACCAAGGGCTTGGTAAAGGGTTCTTCCTTCACTTCACTGAGGGAAAACTAGGGTCCAGAAAGGAAAGGGTGTGGAGCCAGAACTATCTTTTCCAATCAATCCCTTTCTTTTCCTACCAGACCATGTAACAAGGTTGGCCTGATTGGCCAGTTTTTCTAAGGACTGTTAGTGGCAGATTCTGACTGGTTAGCCACCTCCCTGCACAGTGGTGATGGTGAAATGAGATTGATCTTTTCTTTCTTAGGATTGGTTAACAACCCTCAGGGGGGCCAGAGACTCATTTTAATTGACTGGAGAGGGTAGGAGGGAGGTCCGGCACCTTTCATATAGAAATTCTGAGAGTTCTTTTTCCACAAAGGTCACCAAGAAAGAGTCTTGACTGGTTTATGCATATCTGCCTTTGGACTGGAAACAATAGCTTAGAGAAGAAAAATCAAGAGTCGTGCAGGCATGCTACAGTTCAATTTGAAACCCAAACAGACAGAAGGATTCACAGAGGGAAACAGAAGAGTGGTAAAAAGAGAGAGACTAGGACACAGAGAAATGAAAGAAAAAAAAAAAATAGCCAAAGAGGATGGATTTGAATAATTTGGTTTTCATTTCTGGTGGTTTAAGAGGAGGCTACTTTATGATGCATTTTGTTAGAGGCACATGTTGCCAGCGTGTG